CAGGCTATGCGTGAATTTGCGTGTTAGGTGTAGGCCCTTGTGCATAATCTCGGGGTCACCCCGGGTGGTGTGCCGTGGTAACCAGAGGACACCCACATCAAACTGAAATGGGCTGTGGCGCCCTAGCATGCGTGTCTGGGGGGGTCACCCCCGGTGGTGTGCCATGAAAAAATACCCAGAGGACACCCACATCAGCGTGCACCCTAGGGTGCAGTAGTATAATATGACCCTGTATAGGGTAACAGGTATGATCTTCCCTTTGAAGGGTACAGTGGTGCCAAGTCCCCTGAGGGGTGGTTGCAATATATATATATATTGCTGCAGGGGTCCTTTAAATAGTGTGCTCAGTTAACACTGGTATTACAGCCTTATAACCATTACAGCTTGTGCATGCTTTATTCGCCCCTCACATTGATTAGGGAGTTCTGTGAGGGTGTTGTTAAACAAAAATTCCTAGTGTAGGGATTGAGGACTGGAGGGGGGAGCAACAAAATGCCCTAACGGCACTCCCCCGCGTTCGTTGCGGCGATCGGGTGATTCCGCGAGCGGGCTGGAAATCCGCGGCAAAAAGAAAAGTTTAACCCCGGCTACCCTCCACCCGTCCCACCCAGCCCCCTGTAAGATAGAGAGAGCCGGACCGCGCAGCGAGCGCGGCACAGACAGCCGTGACGCCCGCGGCCCGCCGGTAAAACAAGCACAATAATACAAGGTTATAATATAGTGCAATGAAAACAGGGGAACTGCATAAGGAAAAGGTAAAGGGACAGGAATAGGTAGACAGGGTGTGAATAAACTACAATAGAATATGGCAATAAAGGATAAGACATGTACAGCAAACAGAGAGGTAACAAATACTCTGACCTGTAGATAGCTGGAGCAGCAAAGAAAGAGGAAGTGATGTCATAGACAGGGCCTTATATGGGCACCATATCTTTTTTCTGATTGGTTGTTACTGTTTCTATGCTGCTGGAGTTTTCAGTAAAGAAAGATATGCAAATATGAAGCCTCCTGTCATGTAGTAAAATTGTTACTACAGTATGTTTTCATGGGCTGCTTGCTAGCAGTCCAAGTACAGACTTAGGATAGGGCTTGACAAATTTACTTTGAACCTATGAGCCAACTAAAAGAAGCTAGGAGCCCGTTAGTTTTTTTCAACCTAACAAAGCTGTATTTGTAACGACAAAAATAAAATTCTTAAAGGGACATATTTCGGTCATTCGTTTGTTTTTGTGTCCCCTGTCTGTTTCTATGCCCTTATTGGTCAATGTAGGTTTCCCAAAGTTCCCAAGTCTTGGTGAAGGCTTTGGTGGAGCCTTGTACTCGGGCCGTGAGTTTGTCCATAAGATGACATTCTTTGATCTTATTGATCACTACGGGCACTGGGGGGGTGTCTGGTTGTAGCCAGGTTTGTACCATTGCCCTTCTGGCCGCTAAGGTTATTTTATTGAACAGTTGTTGGTCTTGTTTGGGCCAATCGTCTTGGGGTCTGGCTAGCAGGAATGACCATGGGTTTAGTTCTACTGGTCTGTCCATAATTTGGGCTAGTAGTGCTTGAATTGCAGTCCAGAAAATCTTAATCTTAGGGCAGTACCACCACATGTGGGCGTATGTCCCTTTCTCTCCGCAGTTTCGCCAGCAGAGGTCTGTGGGCATTTTTTTCGTGTGGTATAATTGAACCGGGGTGGTATACCACCTGAACATCGTTTTGTATGACTGTTCCTGCATTGTGACACAGATGGAGGTTTTAGTGTTTGCCTCCCATATGTCCTGCCAGTCTATGCCATCTAAAGCTTCCCCTAGGTCGGTTTTCCATTTGTCAGTGCAGTGGAGGGCGCCCCATTCCCGTGTGGTGGAGCAGAGGTGGGAGTAAAGGAGGGAAATCATGCCCTTTTGGTAGCGTTCTGCTTGGCATATTTTTTCAAAGAATGTCAGTTTAGTTTTGGCGGCTATTTTCACAGACTCTTGGTTAGCGTAGTTTCTTAGCTGGAGGTACCTGAAAAAAATCTGTGGGGGTCAGGGTTGTTCTAGTTTGTAATTCCGTGAAAGGAATTATTGTGTCGCCTATATACAGTTGGTAGACTCGTTGAAGGTCGGCCCTTTCTAGGCCTTTAAAATCCCTAGGTCTCATGCCTGGAGTAAAAGCCCTGTTTCGGTATATGGGAGTGAGGGGGGAGGTTGCTGTTGTTAGTTCATATTTTATGGCGTCCCATACTTGGATTGAGTTAGTGATGGCTGGGTATGTGGTTCTCAGGAATGCTCTGTGCTCTTTCGGGGTCCATATGTAGAATTGTGGGAGATCTGATTTCATGATCAGAGATTCCAAGTCGACCCACTTCCTGGTTTCTGGGGGGGGTATGCCACATTGCTATTTATGTCAGGTGGCCCACAATGTATTGAATTGTAGGTGTGGTAGGCCTAAGCCTCCTCTCGTTTTGGGACGGTATAGTATATTGCAGGCTACTCTATGTCTCTTGTTGTCCGCTGTAATGGCATTAGGTCGTGCTTCGTTATGGGGATGGGTAGGGCTTGAAACAAGAACAGGATGTGGGATAGGACATTCATCTTGACCGAATGAATCCTCCCGATCCATGATATTGGTTTGTCCGCCCAGGTCTCCATGTCCGCTATAAGTTTGGTGATTATGGGGGTATAATTTAGTTTGTGAAATGCCGTGGGGTCCGCTGGTAATTTAATACCGAGGTAAGAAAGATAGGTGGGTAATATGCATATGTGGTAATCTGAGGTGATTCGGGTGATCTCAGTTTGTGTGAGGAGGAGCGGGAGGGCGTTGGATTTCTCCATATTAACCTTGTATCCTGATAGTGCGCTATATGTCCGCAGAAGGGGCCTTAGTTCTTGCATGGAAGTGGTGGGGTTAGTCAAGGTGAGGAGGATGTCGTCCGCATATCCTGATACCAGGAACTCTTGGTCTGCTATCTTAGCTCCTGTAACTTCGGGTTGTTCCCTGATTGCCTGAAGGAGGGGTTCGAGAGTTAATACAAAGAGTAGCGGGGAGAGGGGGCATCCTTGTCGGGTACCGTTATGTATGTTGAATTGTGGGCTGCTTGACCCCGTCATCTTTATTTGTGCTGTCACATTGGTATATAGTGCACGTACTGCCATGATGAAGGAAGGGGGTATGTTTATGTGTTCCAATAGTGTGAACATATAGGGCCAGTTCAAACGCTTTTTCAGCATCGAGTGAGAGGGCTAGCGCTGGTATTTTGGTTGTAGTGAGCGTCCAGATTGTGTCAATGTTTTGTCTTTTATTTTCAAATAACTGTCTGCCGGGGATGAACCCGACTTGGTCTGCGTGAATGAGGTGAGTTAAGTCGTGTTGCCAGTATTTTGGTCAGAATTTTGCTGTCATGATTTATGAGTGAGATGGGTTGGTATGCCTCTGGTTGAGCATGGTCTTTGTCTGGTTTGGGTAGAAGTATAATGTGTGCTTGCTTGCGTCATGTCTTTAGTAGGTGGGTCCCGTCCATTAGATCTTGGAATAGGGTTTCCATGTGTGGGAGCAGTTACTCGTGAAAGGTTTTGTAGTAGCTTCCCTCATAGCCATCAGGGCCTGGGGCTTTATTGCTTTTTAGGGATGAGATGGCCAAATTGATTTCATCTTTGGTGATCGGAGTTGATAGCTCAGCAATGGCTTCGGTATGGAGTTTGGGTAGATTTAGGCTTGTTAGGAATTCTAAGGTTCTCGCAGGCAGCCGTGGTGGAGGTGTCGCAATGGGGGGTGTGGTTGTATAGGGCTTCGTAAAAGGATGTAAAGATTTGCGCTATCTCTGTCGGCGAGGTTTTCATGGAGCCATCTGGGGCTCGTATGGACATAATGTGGGGGCGTTGTGTTCAGGGACGTAGCGTGCGGGCCAGTAACGTGTCCATTTTATTTGATTTGTCATAGTACGTCGGCTTGGTCCATGTCAGTGCACGTGCTGTGTCGTCTATCAGCAGTTGCCTAATGGATAGGTGTGTGTCATGTAGGTGTTAAAGTGTTTGCGGGTTTGGGTTCGTTTTGTGGCGTTGTTCCGCTGTGCGGAGGGTGTCTAGTGTGAGTTTTTGGGTTTTGATTTTCTTCTTGTGTGTCGCTATTTTGATGAGGTGGCCTCGGATTACGGCCTTGTGTGCTGCCTATATCACTGTCATTGGGACATCTGGTGTCAGGTTTTCCGTGAATTATATATTTAGCTGTTTTTGTACGTCTGCTACGACTTGTGGGTCTTTTAGGAGGGATGTGTTGAATCTCCATGTCCACGGGGTGGGGCTGTGTAGGCCATCTAAATAAATTGCGATGTCTGCGTGGTCTGACCAGGCAATGGAGCCTATTTCTGTTTTTTGAGTTTTTGTGAAGCCCGTTTGGTTAGTCAGGAAGAGGTCAATGCGTGAGTAGGTGTCGTGGGGGGGGAGTAGTAAGTATGGTCTTTATGACTGGGATGTTGTGCTCTCCATGCGTCTATGAGTCCCGTTTTACGGATGAAGTTGTGTAATTGTTTATCTTGTG